GGTTTTTTAAGGATAGGAGTGATGATGGCTATTTTTAATGGGGTGGGATCAGTACCAGTGGACAGGGAGAGGTTTATGAAGACATTGAGGCTTGGAGAGACCCTGATGAAATTCTTTGTTTTCTTACCTGTCATTTTCTTTCCAAACAACAAGTTGCATTTATACAGGGCCTTCAACCAGGATGACAGTTCAGAGCACTATTTTAAAGTATTGTGTTTTAATAGAAAATCAGCGTTTAGTAAAAAATTCTTAAAATTAAACCATTTGTTATGCAATTTCTTTTTGCATTTTGTGCAAAATTCATGATTTGAATTGGTTGCAGTACTAGAAATTACAATACTTTGAGAGTACTGAGAGGCAGATGATCAAAGGATGGGATGAGATTGTGAAGTGTATGAGATGCAGTTACTTAGTATTATCCTGAGAGACATAAGCTTTTTATTGATGTTTTTGCATACTATTCGCATATTGGAATATGCCCTTCAAGTGTATGAGAAAGACTGAGTGGGGGAACTCAGAACTTGCACTAACGTAAGTAACGTGAGTTACCGTTTGTTAGTACCACCAACATTTTTAAGCAACAATAAAACAAAAAGTACAGTATTTAAATAGAAAACAGACAGATAAGTTTTTAAAACAAGATTTTAACACTAACTTTTTGTATTTTGCAAATATTTAGAATTTGATGGGAAATTCAAAATACCTAATATTAGGTTGAAACAGCGGTGTGTTTTAATTTAAAAGGAACACTGTTTTCATGAAAGGTAATTAGATTTTTTTTCCCTTAGTGAGACGAGACATTTCTATTCGTTTAATAATCCTTGGATTTCTTGCATTTGATACAACACTTTATCACATCGCAAAGCTCTTCACAGAGTATATTATAAAGGGATTGATTGTATTATCTGAGCATTATATCATTGGGATGAAAATGATTTCTTCCTCCAAAACCCTCTAAAGGTTTCCAGGCAAAGAACGCTCCTTTAAATAGATATTCCAACTAAGATATAAATGTTATACATTTTATCTGCTTGAAGTTTTATAGACTGCATAGTTACATCTTGCAGCACGTTTCCAAAGTCTATCGATTTCTTCTGAAATATATGGTTGTGCACAATGTTTATTGCATTAAGAAAGCTGTGAGGGCTATACAAATGCAAGCTATTGTTGTGTGAAGCAACACTCTGTATTCTAATTTTCCTCCCTCTTCTAAAAGTGTTGACATAGTGGAGTCCTGTAGCTCAGTGGTTAGAGCACTCGCTTTGCAAGCGAGAGACCTGGTTCAATTCCAGGCAGAGGGCGAAACCTTGGGCAAGTTTCCTTACTCCATATACCTAATAATAATCCCTCCAAAACAATAATAAATTGGTCATTTTCAATCCACGACTGTTTGTGGGACATTGCTGTGCACAATTGGCTGCGCGTTCGCCCACAAATATACAGTCAATTCACTTTACAGTATATTCTAAGAAGCGCTTTGGGACGTCTAGAAGACGTGAAAAGCGCTATATCAAATGCAAGGATTATTATTATCCTGGAATACTGTAGCACTGGATCTCAAGTAGTCATTTGACATGTGTGAGCCCAGACTGATAACAGTTGGACATATTAAAGATGTTCAGACTGCAATCAAGATTATAACACACAAATCTTCCCTTGTATTAAATTCTTTCTCTGATGCACTATTCTTTTTTTAATTGTGCTTAATGAATAGAAATATATATATTTTTTAAAAGGCATAAGATGAAAGGTAAATAGGAAAGTGCCTTGCTTCTGCTGCTTAGCAGAAACCAGTGCAAGATCAAGTTGGTCGAGGCAGGAGGCACACAGTTCAAAAGTGATTTTTCACAAAGCACTTGTCGGAACCATTTTAATGCATCTCCCATACCCTCGGGAATTACAGTATTTTGGAAATGCCATGAATAGTATTAACTCAACTGCCTAAACCTGAAAATGTTGGCTTTCCATAATTGCCTAGATCAGGGTTCCTCAACCCATAGGTTACAACAACAACTTGCATTTATATAGCACGCCTCAAGCAGAGAAGCGACCCAGAGCACCTGACAATGGCAGAGCACGACCCCGAGCCGGGGGTTGGGGAAAGGGAGACCAAAATTGGGTCACCAAAGTGTGTCAAAGGGTGGCAAACAGATGTGAAAAATTAATACGTATGTGTTTTTATTTTAGTAACTGAATGCCACTGGAGTGCCACACCCCATGTTAACAATACACATGAGCTTCTGCTACAAGAAACACTGGCTCTAAACGTTCCGACGTTCCATAACAACTGCCGGTCAAGCACATCTCGGCCAGGTGATAATTATAAAGGCCGTTCATTGAATTAACACAAACAGCCGTAACTGTTGTTGTGGAACGTCAAGAATTTAGAACAGTTCCTGTGACCGAAACTCTGTAATAAACTTATTTAAACAGCCGCAGGAGCCAGTGAACAGCCAATCAAATGCAACAATCCAGTGGTTCAGTACTACATACTGGTGTGAGACTGAATTTTCAGCCTTGAGTCAACCGAAACATAAAAGCAGGAGCAGACTGGATGTGGAACATGACCTTCGGATTGTTCTGGCTAAAATTACACCGAACTTTGATAAGCTCAAGCAAGCTCAGGTTTCTTATTAAGTGGAACCTACGATTTATACAACAAATGCTTAAGTGCTATATTTTAATATTTGGTGCATTTGGTACGTGTTATGTTAATGTGTATATAATATATCATGGGTAAGAAATATTTAATAAGTCAGATATGTTTTGCACTAAAACTATTTACTGTGTTGCAACATGCCATCTGGGTCCTGAACCACTGGTGTAGATGGCTGTGAGCACCCTCTGCTGGTCACTTTTGTTTTTTTTTAAATATATATATTTATTTATAAATATAATATTTGGTACAACAGAAATCCAAAACAAACACAACATCTTCGGTTACGATTTTTACCTTTTCTCCCGATAGAAAAAAAACATTCTGTTGTCTGCAGTACATTCCTTCACCGCACACAAGTTGAGCACATTTTAACAAGGTCGGGAGTAGCCCCCGTGTACAACACATCCATGTGCGCCCCCGCACACACCCTGATAAGGTACACTTGGCACTTTCGGAAGGAGCTTCGATGCGCAACGTACGTGCACATGTTTACCGTACATACATTTGCAAGAGGCTCTTTGGTTACATCTCAGGCTCCTTCTGTTCCCTTACTTCAGTCAGTTTTGGGTGCGCTTGTGGGCTACCCAGTGGGTGCGTCCTGAGCGGGTTGTACTGGAGCAGCTCCTGCCGAGGTCAGGTCCATCTGGCCTTTGCCTTGGTTGAGCTGAACTTTAGCTTGTCCCTCAGTATACAGGCCCTGAGCCTAGCCCTCACCGTCCCCGCGTTATGCCAGAATAACACCTGGTTTTGGAAGTGGCAAAGGGCCTCCTTTACCGAGTTTATGATCCTCCAGGCACACTCGCTGTGGGTTTTTTGCCATGACTGCCCGGGAACAGGCCGTACAGCACCAAGTGCCGTGACAGCAGGTCCCTAGGGTTGAACCACAAGAGAATCCATTCCATCTTTTTTGCGAAACACTCCAGGAAGAGGTGGTCCACGGTCTCCTGGCTCTGCAGCCAGCCCGGGGGCAACGTGCTGACTGGCCCTGACCTTGAATGAAAGCCCTGAGGCGGAGGGCCCCTTTTATTGCCAGCACACAAAGCCTAGATTGTTAAGATGTGCAAGTCACAGGACTCCTTACAAGGCTCTGTGCAAGACATATTGGTACCAGGCGACAATCGAATGTGAATGAATCACGAAAGGAAAGAAAAATAAGCATTTATTAGATTAGATCATTACATAAAATCTCTTCCAATTCACTTTGATGATTAAATATAAACACTTGTACACTAGTGCAACAATAACACGAGATAATAACATAAAATATCACCACTTAACAAACAATATATTCCCAGTAATTCCAGAATGTCAAACTCACATTTAACCATTTGCAAGGCTGTATTATGTTTTTTACAGTTTATTTAGAGTAATTTGACGTTAATAAATGTCCTGAATATTTCTGTTTCTCAAGAAATGGACGTTTCCAGCAATTTATTCTTGCCAGGCTGTATAAGAAAATTTACATGACCACTTTTAATTAAAATCCCAAATGAATCTTACGAATTTAAAAGGAATTGTTTAGGAAAAAGTGTTTACATCACACTGTTTAAAGTTTTAGGAATATTTGAGCTGTATTTCACCTTTGCGTCTTTCTGTCTTTGATCCAAACTTACAACAATATTCAGATTTTTTGGGTGTATATGGTTTATGTTAAAGTAGTTAATTAAATATTTCTTATATTGAGTCTTCATATGATCGCATCTCTGTATTATATTGTAATATTATTCCTATAATTTCCAGCATATCCTTTCTTCCAGTGGGATTAAGAAAGCACTCCCAACCCAGATACTGAGAGAAGAACAAGACCTCAAGGTATCTGCTCCATGGCTTATGATAGTGTGGAAGCTGATTTTTCCCCTCCCCAGCTTTGCCTCTCGGCTTTGGGATCCTCAAACTTTACTTGTTGAATATTTCAATGTCGCAAAGTATTCAGAAAATGTCTCTTTCCTCTGTTTTTACTACAGTAGTCCAATACCTCAACCTAGAAATTCAAGGGAAATGCTGTATCTTGTACTGAACCTCTCTGAATTGAAAGCTGCCCTGTACACTGCCCGCTGCGTAACTGAATGACATAGATCAGGAAGGTCCCACATTCGATCCCCAGTCTATGCCATTGCTGATTTCAGCTGGGATGACAGTTGCACCATTAAAAATTAGGAGTAATGATCTGCTGCACCCTAGCTCTAAATTCGCTGTATTACATTCCAGTAGTACATGTCTTTGTGTGGCAAATGTGTTGCTATGCACAATTGAGCTGCCAAATTTGCCTACAAACACAGGTCACTTAATTTTACAGTAAAAAAAATCCTGCAAAACACTTTGGGACATGCTCTTGACGTGAAAAGCACTGTACCAAATTGTCAGGATTATTATTATTAATTTCACCCCTTTATAGCTACTTGATTTCTGAACTTTGTGAAGTGAAGTCATGATTGAAATGTCTAACCTCATTCTTAATTCCATGACTGCACATCCCCAGTTTCTGAAATCACTGATGATTTTTCTGTATTTACCTCTGGGAGTATAGATTGTGGTCCCAAAGGCGAAAGTTCAGAAGTGAGTCTAGCGATTCACTGACTCTGACTCCTGCACCGAATCCTCGAATACTTATACTTGGTTAACTGCAGCTTACACTTGGTTAACTGTAATTTAAACATACCCCTACAAATGAACTGCAGTGGGATCTGGTACGGACAGTATTAATATTTCAGAGGTAAAGTCAAACGTCTCTTCATTGTCATTTGTTTCTTTCTTGACCAAGATCCCCACTGCTCTTGTTTTGTTCCCAGGTGCCAAGATTACCACAGTTGTGAATATAATACTTTGGTAACTATATTGACTTAATCTCCTCTTTGATCTGCCCGATCAGGATTCGAGAAAGGACAATTCCTGCAATCTGCAATAAAAGGAAAGAGAGAGAAAAAGTTATGCCACTCCTGAAAGATCAGTAACACGTTTACCTATATAAATACTAATAATGATCTTTGCATTTGATATGTTGCTGCATTTGATGCTGCAGTACTCCAAGACAGTATCCTGTGTAAATAGCGCTATATAAATGTAAGGTGTTGTTGATATAGATTCTTATCACTTCGTCAAGACTTCTCAAAGCCCTCCACAGGATTTTACTGTGAAGTGTTATGACTGTATTTGTAAGCAAATGCAACAACCAATTTCCACGCAGCAATGTCTCACAAACAGTCGTAAAGTGAGTGACAAGCAACCCCAGTACTGCATTGGAGTGTCGGTCTTGACCACATTTTTAAGCATGATGTCCTTAAGGTGATTTGCTGTCATTTCCTTTGGTTTCCAAACACAAACATCCGTTATGGCAGATGTAAGTATTGATATCATCCCTGTCAATGTAATCTAAAACAGACATTTCCCTGTTTTCTATTTATGCATCTGATATCAATTGTGATCGGAGGTTGAAGGCGATCTCTTTGTGCCCAGAGTATAATCTCAGGACGTTTGTGCAACAGAACAACAAAATGGTCAAAAGGGTTTCCTCCGGCTGATTGTAAAATTAATATAATTTCTTTTTTCACACTGAGAATTACACAGTGATTAATGACAATCTAAATATAATAATCTACAGAGACTCTGCAGCAAAAGGGACTAGCATGCAATGTTCTCAGAAGAGCTGGGAAGTGCTTATTTCAGCTTCCTTGGTCGCCTGAGTGGTTGGACAGGAACATTGTCAGAAGCTATTGTTTGAGGGGAAAGAAATTTCAATCATGATTAAGAATGAGGTTAGACATTTCAATCAGAGGATGACATGCCATCACCCCATGGTTCTCCAACTCATTCACTTTCTAGACTTTTTTTTAATAAACTCATGGCATCAGGTCATTGCTTACCCTAATCCCTTCCAAGAGGCTGAAATCTTTGCTCACCATTCCTTTGTACACTCCTGTATTGCAAATTTGCTGCATAGTCTCTTTGTGGATTGTTTTGGAGTCTATTTAGGATGCGATGCATTCTCGGAGAGCCAGGTGATCATGTGTGAATTGATAACCCCCCAGTGAGCTGCCTACCTGTGGCAGTGCCAGGCCGAGAACAATGCCTCCCACCAGGAACAGATGACCCTCAATCCAGATCACTGCTTTATCAGCACATCCAACGGGATGTAGGAACTTGGAGGCCTCCATCTGGTTTAGTCTTTGCTTCTCAAAGCCACACATTGTGTTGATCACTGACTGGGGGGAGGAGAGGAAAGTCGAACACAAATGTTCAATGGGGGTTAGAGACCAGGAGGTTCCACATCTGAGCTGAACAGACTCCCTAGGAGGAATGGCCTATTTTTCTTCCAATGTTACTGTGTTGTGAGAAAGTGTGACACTCAGCTGCAGAACTCCATTCATAGAACCTCAACCGTCAGGTTTCTAGTTTAAAAACTGTTTTAAGTTAGCTATCTCTGAACAAGTTTGTCCTGCAAGTCTTGTTTAGTACATCAACAATAAGAGGTTAGTAGACTTTCCCTCAGTAGAACGTGAAGCACATCACCATGAGCAGGTTAGGCCCCCTTTAATAGCTTTTCCCAAGTCATGAATCACCATTTCTGTAATACGAAAATGTTATTATAATAATAATCCCTGCATTTGATATAGCGTGTTATCATGTCTTTGAGACAAGATAAACTGTAAAGTGAATTGACTGTATATTTTGTGGGCGAAATGCGTCAGCCAATTCTGCTCAGCAGTGTATGAGAACTGTGCCCTGGAAATGTTCTCTTTTTGGTTTAAAATGTTCTGTTTTGGGTTCAAAAATTGATAAATAAAAAAGCTACAAAAATGTGTGATAATAATGGCTCACCCCTGCCCCACCCAATTGGCTTGAGCTCTGTTTTCATCAGCAGCTTACCTCTCCAGGAACCGGTATACAGCAGGAATATGGCACACCACAGCGCTCTGGGCTGGGGTTCTGAGGCGTGCAGTTAAAATACATGTTCTTCGACCAATCTGTGTATGTGGTCCAACCACAGCACTGAAACTGGGGGGAGGGAGAACAAGTCCCTGGTTACTGAGAAGAAGCTGTAATTTTATAGCACCTGTTCACAAAATGTCTCAAAGTACTTCACTGCAATTGCTGTTGTGCAAGGGCTTTTGTAGGCAAACACAGTTGCCGTTTTAGCACACAGCAAAGTACCGCAAAAACTATGAAGTGAATGGCCAACTTATATTAAGGATTCATGGCCAGACACTGGGAGGAATGCACAAAGAACCTTACATTGAAATTGTTCAGCCGAAAGGTCACACTTTCAGCCACTAGGCCCCGAAACTCTGGAACAATCTCCCTCAATCCCTCTGCCTTGTCCCCTCTCTCCCCTTTTTTCCACCTGAAAACCTTCCTCTTCGACCATGCTTACGGCTACCTTCCCAACCCCAGCTTGGAATCAGGCTCCACCGCTGTTAAGCACTCTGAGACACTACCTTGCATGGAGGGCACTATATAAGAGCAAGTTGTTGTTTAATGAGGTTGTTTCATGAAGGTGAAGTGCCACCGCTGATATCTATAGCTTTGCAGTGGAATCTAGCCTCGTGGATCCAAATTGTTCCGTTATCCAAAACATTCACTGAACTTGGGAATCAGACAGGGAAAGACCCGAGATCACTGAAGCAGCTCAGGTCCCAATTTTAATTGGAGATAAAGGAGCGGGAAAATTAGTTTTCAGCTGTTACAACTTCCCTTACATTGAGGAGTGCACACAGTTCACGTGAGCAATTAGAACTGTGTCCTTTTTGGGAATCGATGCCTTTGATATTGTGTGAGGAACACGATCAGGAGGTTACACAGTCGCTACAGGACAGTATTCTTCATCCTACTTTTTTTAAAGAGATTTTCCCCCTTGTTGAATTGCACTGCTCGAAGCCATAGCAGTCGACCTCCTGTGGTTCCCACTGCAGTTGTGCGTCTTTCCTCTGAGCACACACATACCGGCAGGGGATGTCTCGCTTTTCAGATTTCCCATAATATAAGATGTCATGGTCTTCGAGATTTAACTAGATCTCAGATTATCTACGTGAACATATTTGATCAGTGCCCGATGCACATTGGTTCAGATGTTGCCTTCACAATGTAAACACTCCAAGTCTTGCAAACATTCTGTGACATTGAGTTCTGGTAATTCATACACTGATGAGCCGATTTCTAAGTGCTGTGGGTGAGGCTACTTTAGTGAAAAACTAACTTCTGTTTTCACCTTGCGTCCTCCACTTTCCATAAGTATTCAATGAACGCCAAATGGTTTAGACAATACAATGAACGGAGAGAATTTGCAAAGACCCATGAAAAGCACAGGATATGGGCAAACATGATTGTCTTTACCTCATTCTGGATATAGTCGATCAGGTTCTGCAGGTCAATATCATCTCGATAATGAATAATAGCTTTTTTGATGAATTTACGAACTGCGTTTTGAGCCTAGAAAGAGAGAACAAGGCTGAAGAATAAAAGAAAGGAGGTCAAATGTTTAAACACTGCACAAAGGCACATACATGCCTTCATTACAACCAGGCTCAACTATTATTCCAATGAGCTTGTTGACTTTCCCAACTTTTCCCTCCACAAATCATCTAGTACTCTGCAGCTCGTGTCCTCTCCCACACCAGGCCCCGTGACCCCATCACCTCCACCCTCACCCGGCTCCCCTGTCTCCCTCAGAGGATCAAGTTCACGATCCTCGTCCTCACCTTCAAGGCCCTCCATGGCCTTGCCCCCTCCTACCGCTGCAACCTGCTAACCCTTATCAACCTGTCCACTCCCTCCACTCAGCAGGCTCCAGCCTGCTCCATGTTCCCCGCCCAGCCTGCCCCACCCTTGGCGGTCAGACCTTCAATCTCTCTGCCCATGTATATTCCCTTCACCTCACTCCCTCCCTTGCCTTCTTCAAGGCACAACTAAGATCCTCCTCTTCGACCATACCTCCTATCCTTCCTTTTACCTTGAGGTGACCAGTTATTTGGAGTTTACTGTTCTTGCAATGCCTTTATGATTGTTCTTTTCGAAACTACAATTGAAAGTTCAGTATTCTCACATTAGGACTGGAGGCAAAGGGAAAGCTTGACAAAGACAGGAAGTGGCCAGTTTATATGATAGACAGAAAAACTGATATTCTTATCTGTCAATCATATTGCAGCAGTGATGTCAGTCTGACATAGCTCATAGGACTGATCTTTGGGTCTGAAGATTGCTTGCTAAGACTAGAGCTCACGATTAAGACTATTATTCCAATGAGATATTGAAGGAGAACCTTTGAGTGGTCATCGCGATGAGATGTTCAACTGAAGTCTTGTCTGCCTGATTAGAGGGAAGTTAAAGACCTCACCCACACTATTTTGAAGTGAAGGAGGTACTCCCAATGTCTAATCATTAGTACTCCCTCAACCAAATTCTCCCATGAAATCATATTGGACTTGCTCATTTATCTCGTTGGTATTTGTGGAATTTGCTCATGTGGGTTAGCTGCCACATTTCCCTAAATAACAACAGCCGTGATCAGTCAAAGTAACTGAAGATTAGGAGGAGGGAGGGAAGCCTGAAGCCAGTTCTATGTGACCATCCCTAGTTACTACCTTATCTGAGTAGACGAATCCCAGGATTGCAACGACCAACTGCACCAGGAAGAGGAACATCAGGCTGAATGAGAACTGTGAAGGAAAAATTTACAAAAACATCCATAAACTGGTTTGTAACCGGCTGGTTTACTAACTATTGGACTTGTTCTGGGATTCCTAGTGGAGTCCTGTAGCTCAGTGGTTAGAGCACTCGCCTTGCAAGCGAGACACCTGGGTTCAATTCCAGGCAGGGCAAAACCTTGGGCAAGTTTCCTTACTCCACACGCTTAATACTAATCCCTCCAAAACAATGATAAATTGGTCATTTTCAATCCGCGACTGTTTGTGGGACACATTGGCTGCCGCTTTTCACCCACACATATATGGTCAATTCACTTTACAGTCTATTCTGTGAAGCGCTTTGAGACATCTAGAAGATATGAAAAGCACTATATCAAATGCAAGGATTATTATTATTATTCATAAAATTTTGCCTACAAAATACACAGTCACTACACTTTCCAATAAATCCTGTGAAGCGCTTTGAGCTTCCCTCCCGATGAGAAAGGCATATATCAAATGCAAGGATTATTATTCCTGACATTCTGTACATAATGATATCTAAAATGCAGTTGAGGCAACTTTTCTAAGTAAATGAGGCTTCCACCGCTGGGAACAGCAAAGTTTGGTTTCTTCACCAGATATTGATTTTAAAACTATTTTGATAGTTAACATTAAAAGTTAAAAGGGCACCAAGAATAAACTCCTCTGGCCCCTCATTAAGTTAAAATAAAAATTATAGCCACTGATTGGAAGTTGAAAAGCCTGAAGAAGAAACCATTGTCCAGGACCAAATATGTCTTTAAGGACGAGTTACATTTCTTATTTTCCCCACAGTTTCTGTTCATTTGATAACTTGTTACTAATATCTCTGGTTAGGAAAACCTGAAGTTTGGGACCCCTCCCACCGGCATAGAAATAACATATTTGAATATCTAACTTCAAATGGGACAATGCTACTACTGCCTCCCCCCACACCCCCCTCCACACACACACACACACACTTACCCATGCTACTTCTCATGTAATATATGGAAGAATGACAAGACCACAAAATAAGCATGGAGTCTCGTTTCACCTGATTTCAGACACACGGCAGAACGAGGAGAAGCTGCTTGGCAGAGGGTGTACTAAGTAGTATAATAAAAGATTAACAATGGGTTCAGGAAGGACTCTCAATGCTGGGAGATAGCAATGGGTTTGGGAAGACTTTGCAGTAACAGTGGGATCAGGAAGGATGAGGGAGGGCTGTTGGGTTTCACATGGTGTTATTTTGGAATGATGGCAGTGACCCAACAGTCATTTTGTTGCTGGGAAGACTTGAAACATACCCCGATGGTTCCACACTCACCACGTGCAGCAACATGATGTTTTCTCTCAGAGCCCCCACACAGCCACAGAAGGTGATTAAAAACATGACGGCTCCGACTGCAATCATGATTATTGCAGGGTCGATTAGAAATGTGTCCCGCACAGCATCTGAAAGGAAATCAAAGCCGTGGTCACCAGGTGCACCTGTCTTCAGATCAAACCAGAACGTAGAGAGCAAGAAAAAACATCCGCATCCTTAAAATGTAAACAACAGCTGCATTTGACTATTGCTGTTGCAAGTTAAGATTCTTGGGTTTCCTATAAGAACGTAAGAATTTGTTAGACGAAAGAAGACCAAACTCTGTCCAGTTCACCTTCCACCATCCTGGCAATCACATGGACATGTCATGTCCCAAACCATATACTGAATCCCGAGATATTATTTGAGGGTTATTTGGAACTGATGACGTCAATAGGCATTGCAACTTGGCAAACAGAGCTGGGGTTGTCTTTCACATACCTGTGGCTTTCTGAATTTTGGCATAAACCCCAATGGCAACAATCACCAGAGAGATGGTCTACAAGAAAAAAAACACAAAATTATCAGGAACATTGACAGCAATAAATCAGAGACGTCCTGAACTTTAGGGATCTCAGTCAGGAGAATGGTAGAATCATACAGCACAGAAGGAGGCCATTTGGCCTATCGTGACTGTGCCAGCTTTTTGAAAAGAGCTATCCAAATCAATCCCACTCCCCCGCTCTCTCCCCATAGCCCTGCAAACTTATTTATCTACTTCTCTCTTAAAAGTTGTTATCAAATCGGCTTCCACCACCCTTTAAGGCAATGTATTCCAAACAACTCACTGTGTGAAAAAAATGAATCTCACCTCCTCTCTGTTTCTTTTAACCTATTTTAAATCTGTGTCCTCGGGTTAACGACCCACCCACCAGTGGAAATAGTTTTGTTCACCGTATCGAATCCCCTCATACTTTTGAAAACTTCTGTTAAGTTTCCTCTTAACCTTCTCTGCTCCAAGGAGAATAATCCTAGCTTCTCTAGCCTCTCCTCATAACTGAAGTCCCTCATTTCTGGCACATTCCTGGAAAATCTTCTTTGCACCCTCTCCAATGCCTTGACATCTTCCTAAAGTGTGGTGCCCAGAACTGAACACAGTACTCTCGCCGAGGCATAACCTTGTTTTATGAAGGTTCATCATAACTTCCTGACTTTTGTATTCTATGCCCCTATTTATAAAGCCTAGTAGCCCGTATGCTTTTTTAACAGCTTTATCTATCTGTCCTGCCACCTTCAAAGATTTACTTAATGATCCCCAGATCTCTCTGTTCCTTCACCCCTTTTAAGAGATCCTAGACTTCTTCGCCTCAAAAATTGAAAACATCTGGTTGGCTGCATCATCCTCCCCACCCCACCCCTCCCCCCCATGTCCCCTTCCACCCCACCCAGACCATCCATACCACCTTCTCCCGTGACCACGGCTCCTGCCATTCCCCCCTCCTTAGCCCCCATTTCTCCCTCCTCCCTCTCAACCACAATCACCCGGATGAAGTTCACCACCTGTTGCCTCGACTCCCTCCCCATCCAGCTGCTGGTCACTCAACTCCCCCTCCTCTCCCCCCTGCTGGCCAACATGGTCAACCAGTCTCTCTCTCTTCAGGCTCTGTTCCACAACCCCTAAAAACGCTGTCAACACACCTCTCCTCAAAGAAACCACCCTCGATCCCTCTCATCTCTCACGCTACCATCCCATCGGTATACGGTCACAAATATATGGTCAATTCACTTTGCAGCATATTCTGTGACGCGCTTTGAGACGACTAGAAGACATGAAAAGCGCTATATCAAATGCAAGGATTATTATTATTATTATTATCTTCAACCTACCCTTCCTTGCCAAAGTTCTGGATTGCATTGTTGCAGATCAACTTTGGTCACACCTCTCCCTCCTCAAGCCCCTGCAGTCTGGTTTTCGCCCTGCCCACAGCACAGAGACAGCGCTTGTCGAAGTCACAAACGACATTCTCTCTATCTATGACCAGGGCTCCCTCTGCCTCCTCGACCTCCTGGACCTCTCTGCCACATTCAACACAGTCGACCACGCCATCCGCCTCCATCGGCTCTCCTCTCTCATCTACCTTAGTGGGACCGCACTCGCATGTTTCGAGTCCTGCTTAACCAACCGCCTCCATTTCATCTCAGCAAATGGTTTCTCCTCCCTCCCCCGGTAACCCAGGCTCCATGCATTTCTTTGTATTTGATATAGCGCTTTTCACATCTTCTAGACATCTCAAAGCGCTTCACAGAATAGATTGTAAAATGAATCGACTGTATATATTTGTGGGCGAAACGCAATGACACACAAATCTACTTTGCCTCTTCCAGTACCAACACCAGGTCCACCGATGTTCTATCAGCTTGTCTGGCAGACATCAATGCCTGGATGAATGTAAACTTCCTGCAGCTGAATATGGACAATACAGAAGCTATACTCCTTGGCTCCTGGCAAAGCCTTCATTCCTGCGGATCTAAACTCCTAAACTCTCTGGGCTCTCCCTCAGACTCACCGAACCAGTGCGCAACCTCGGCGTCCAGTTCGACCCCCAGCTATCCTTCCTCCCCCACATCCGGTCCCTTACTAGGACCGCTTTCTTCCACCACCGCCACATTGCCCGCCTCTGACCGTACCTTACCCCAAATGCAGTCAAAACCCTTGTGCATGAGTTTGTCTCCTCCTGCTTGGATTACTCCAACGCACGTCACGATGATGTCCCCAGTTCCACCATTCACAAGATCCAGCTCATTCAAAACTCTGTCGCCCACATACTGACCTGACCTGACTCCATATCCACATCTCACTAGTTCTGGCCAGGCTCCACTGGCTCCCCATCACTGAACAGATCAACTTCAAGATCCCTTCACTCTCTGGCACCTCTCCAACCTCCTCATTCCCCATTCCACCACCCGGTGCATCCACTCGACTGGCACCGGCCTCCTTCTCGTCCCTCGCACTCTCCGCCACACCATTGGAAGACACGATTTCAGCCACTACGCCCCAAAACTCTGGAAACTCTCCTTCAATCCCTCCACCTTACCCCCTCTCTCCCCTCTATCAAGTCTCGCCTGAAAACTTTCCTCTTTGACCGTGTTTATGGCCATCTCCCCCCAGCTTAGAGTCAGGCTCCACCACTGTGGAGATGCTACCCTGCATAGAGGGCACTATATAAGTGCAAGTTGCCATTGTTGTTGTTTAGCACCTTTTGTCCCTTGTTCACACTCCTTAATACTTAACACCTACATTATACCTACTTCCCGAGGAATGTCTATGAGGAAAAAATGTTCTCACCTGCACCTCTTTCCCCCTCTGCACCAAATTCCTACTCTCACCTAATCCCCTAACAGAATTCTCACTTTGTTTCACCTCACTCAGTTCCTTCGTCGCATTGCTGGGCTCTCTGCTCAAGTGAGGCTTTCGCAAGACTTCCCCTTTATATAGGACTCAAACAAAAGCACCCAGTTTCGACTGGGCAACAAATTTATTAATCCCTGGCCTATGATTAACCGCTAATTGATTTGTTTGCCTATTTACTTATAAGGTTGCCTCTACTTCAAGAAAGATTTTCCACTCTTCTGCTGAATGAAAGAGTTCTCTCTTGTTCTCTGGTATCTCTCTTGCTGAAGAATTCCCACTCTCACCTACTTCCTTGACTGAATTCTCACTCTGTTCCACCTCACTCAGTTCCCTCCTCATGCTGCTGGGCTCGCTGCTCAAATGATAAACACTACATTTCATAAACCCTTTTTTTGTAAAGTAATCCTAGACCTTAACCTACGTAAAGGGCACTATCTAAATACATGTGGTTGTCAAAATAAAAGGTGAATAAAATTTGTCTTCATCAAAGTGAGAGATGCAATGTTATTATTGAGAAATGGAACACTTCCCCACAATGTCAGTATCAAGCACTCCCCTAGTCTTACAGATAATCAGTAGATGAGGTGAAGCTGCCTCTAACTCTGTTCATTATAAAAACTGAGCAAAATAATTTTTATTTTGGTGAAAGATCGACTACATGTTCAATTTGGGAAGAGCACCCTCTTGTACACCAGTATCACATTTTCAATTTACCACACATACCATCCCTTGGGCTCTTTGAATAATATTATGGTAATATATAATCCTTGTATTTGATTTGGAGCTTTATCACATCAAAATGATTCAAAACACTTCACAGAGTTTTCTGGAAGGTGTAGTGATTGTGTATTAGTATATGAATGTAGCAGACAATTTGAACACAACAATGCTCCACAAACTACCAAGAAGATTTTTTTAATCTGGGGAAATTGTTGGTCAAGACATTGGGAGAAACTCCCATCTGTTTTAAAACAGTGCAAGATTACTACCGACCAAGTAATAGATATCTGGTGATATCAGATCGTCAATTTATAGTTGAATTAACAGTAGTTTTGTACTGTGAATACACTAGGAAATTTCTTCACTGTTTCTTTTTCCTTTCATTCGCCATTTACTCCACTTTGCTTCCTTAAAACTGAAAAATTATATACCACAAATGGCCAGGCCAGGAACTCAGTGGCAGAACAGGATATTCCTTATCAGCTGTTGCCTCGGCTTCTATGATGCTGAACAACCCAGAGGGAGACCACTTGTTACTGTCCTTCTATGCTTTGTATAGGGGAATTATCGTCTACCATAATTGGCATCAGAAGATTACTGGGAGGAATGATCGTTTTTACACACAAACAAGGAGCTTTGGGAAAGCATAGCTGACAGTTTGATCTGCCATGTGAGGCATTGGAAAGAAACGGTAACTTAGTTATAGAGGCTCCCATTAAAGTGAAATTAGAAACAGACTGATACCAAGCGCTCAAGGGACACTATCTCGTGTGAAGGATGATATATAAATGCAAATTGATGTTTTTGTTGTTGGTACCAGAAAGCTGGTCAACTGGGTGAAGTATTGAGCGTACAGCTCTTTAAGATATTCTCCTCATGTGATAGACAATTTATACAACTCTAAGGAACAATAACCCAGGGTCAGTCAGGGCTTTCAGGAGGAGTAGGGAGAAAATTAAAAATATGGAAGAAAAAAAACTTACAGATACTGTACCAGGAACTGTTAGGTTCTTTCTTCATCATTACAATCCTTGATATAGGGCTTGTCATTTCAAAACATTTCAAAGTGCTTCACTGGTAATTGGTACCAAGCCTGGACTATCACATCTTTCTGACCCAGGTGATCATGGGATACAACAGCAACAACTTTCATTTATATGGTGCCCTTCACGCAGCATAGCATCTCAGAGCAGGGTGGTCCTGATTCTGACGCAGGGAGCACCTTTTTTCTCTGATGAAGAAGGTAACAGGTCAGCAGCTGGCAAAGGAGGCCTCAAAAAATAAGAGGAATGGAGGACTGTGGTGTATCCATTGTTTAACAACAAAGAGGTGCAGTTCTCATGGGGTTGAAAGTCTGCCCTAGAATAATGGGATTGCAATATCATTGATGTGGCTGGTTGTATAAATTGGGAATATTTAAAAGCGTTTAAAAGTGTGAAACTGGCATTCACCAAACTGGCGCTGAGCTGCTAGGATTGCCGCCACCGCTGGATCAGACACTTCAGTAGCTGCACGCAGCAGCTTTTGAGCAAAACCATTTGAAATGAGTTGGTGGGAGGGGTGAAGTGTTCCCATGTATCAATAGTTCCCCTGTATCAATCCTCCATGAGTATTCTGTCCTACTGTGTGAAAGGTATCACTGGTGATGATTGTCACATTATATACTGTATTTTTCACCTTAGGTGGCACATCCCACTCCAATCCAGAGCAAAGTCATTCAAAATGAATCTTGAAACTAAGTTGGTAGAAATCGCTTACATCAATGACAACAATAAATTGCATTCCCAAGGCATTGGACAGTGAAGGGTTTGTACCCGAGCTGGAGGTTGGAATCAAGATGGGGATGGGGTCGTTAAACTGCTTAACTTATTCAATAACATTTTATAATATCATTGGACAATTTGTTGAGAGATTGGATGGTAACAACACCACATGGCTCTTGATAGAATGGTACTCATTGGCACAGATCATGGAATTTAGTTTTGATATAAGGTGTTACTGAATGCAGATAGGAAATATTAAAATTATTTTAAATATAATCAACTCATTCTCCACCTTTGCCCCACAACTAAAAGCTTTCCCCATAAGAGGGTTACAAGCTTGTATCCTTGACTACGTTGTATTAGCTGATTTGAGATAGAGAAGTACAACAACAACAACTTGCATTCATATAGTGCCCTTCACACATGGTAGGGTCCCGGAGGTATTCAGGCCATTACAATTGGTCTCAGTACACCCAGGCTTTGTAGAGAGATAGAAAGTCTGTTAGAGTTTCCACTCTGGATTGCTGTCAAGTGGATAATGCCGGCTTGGAATTTGTGCGAGGACAAGATCGGGCTTGAGTGTGATGACTGACCCACACTGTGAAAGAGCCTGGCAACACTCAGTGTCTATGTTCACTAATTGAGTTACTCCTTGGGTGGATACAAAATGGTAACCGGTATCTGTGGAAATCCACACGAATATAAATCTTTTTATTTGGTCAGTCAGCTGTCTGACATGTGCAGAAACCCATCACTTAAGAATATCCAAGACCAGACTGCTGAGACTTCAACATATGCTTGGGAATTTCCATTTGTCTGGAATGGAGTGCATGCTTTCTCGTACCTTGCACCATGGTAATTGGGGAGAAAAGTGGAGGGAAAAAATTAATATCACGCTAATTATGGAATATGCAGCTTAATTATGGGTAGGCAGAATACATGATTTATAAAGCGCTGCATAAGCTCGAGTGAACAGTGTGGCCAGTGTTTGCAAACTCATCACTCAGTCGTAATGACTCAGATCGGAATGCACACCGCCACAATCATCCACAAAGAGAATGTGATTAACTCAGATGAAAAACTTTCACAGTCTAATTAACAAAGCACAAAGAGTAGTTAGGGACCACCGTCATCAACAATGCTCAACCTTAAAGATCCGATTTCTACTGAGAAAATTACTGTTGCAATTTGCCACTCGTGAATACTTCTTGAGGGAAGAAAAGACCAAATCTGCCTAGTTTAGACACCATGGGTTTGAAGGAGGCTGATAAACCTGGTGGGACTATCCTGTCATTTTATTGGATCATGATAGATCTTTTCCTCATTTCCTCATCTTTTCTTCATACCCCTAATATCACCACTTCCCAAATATCTATTGTCTATCACGTATCTAAGTATCTGGGTTGGTCTGCTGTGCATTATGAGACAAAAATAGAGAAATTAGCTTTTAGACAGTGATGCTAAGGATCACCTGTTGAAAGATAAAGGCATACTCTATCGCTTTTTAAAAAAGAGCTGGAAAACCACCTGGGATTGGGATGAAGGTTATAGACATACGATACAATAAAAAATTACATTTATAAGGTGTCTTTCATGTCGGGAGGACATCTCAAGGCGCTGAACAATAAGGGATTAGGACCTGAGCTGGGGGGTGGGTGGGGTTGGGATCAGGGAGAGTGGAGGGCAGAGGGGGTAGGAGGGTGGCCGAAGGCCAGTAGAAGAGGAGGGTCTTGAGGCATGATTTGAAGAAGGCAAAGGAGGGAGTGAGGTGAGGGAATGGGGGATGGAGTTCCAGAGGGTGGGGGCAGAGAGGCTGAAGGCCCGATCGCTGATGGTGAGGCGGGCTGGGCGGGGGACATAGAATAGGTCGGAGAGGTAGGAGAGGGCAAGGCCATGGAGGGCCTTGAAGGTGAGGATGTGGATTTTGAACTCTGAGGGATGGGGAGCCAGTGGAGGCCAGGTGAGGGTGAGTGTGATGGGGGTCACGGAGCCTGGTGCGGGAAAGGACACGAGCTGGAGTGTTCTGGATGATCTGCAGCTTGTGGAGGGAAAAGTTGGGGAGGCCGACAAGAAGGGAGTTTCTGTAGTTGAGCCTTGAGGTGACGAATGCATGTGTGAGAGTTTTGGGGGCCTGAGGGGTGAGGCAATAGCGGCGTCGGGCAATGTTGCGGAGGTGGGGTAAGGCAGAGCGGATCACAGCATAGACGTGGGGGAGAAAGGACAGTTGAGGGTCGAACAAGATGCCTAGGTTCCTGAGTGGCTTGGTGAGGTGGAGGGTGCATCCATGGATGCTGATGCTGCCAGTGCCTGAGGTGCGGAGGCACTTGTGCAAGCCAATCAGAAGATCCTCGGATAAATAATAGAGAAAAGCAAAATGCAGTAGTTCCTGTGCAATTGTGGAAAGCAATGAGCCACGATCAGCTGTGAACATGTGAGGATGGAATAATCATTCTGGAGAGTTGCACTTGAAGAATTTATGCAGAACTCGTACACAAGATGTGGGATGGAGCTGCTGCTAAAGTAGTTCTGTAAATGATCTGTGAAAGCATTTGGGTTTGATGGTCTGAATAGCCTTTTTTCATTCCATGCCTTCTGCGATACTCATGAATACAGCTCACGTTTCCTTTGATGACCGACGATCAGAATACGTTAGTACATTATGGAGTAATAGGATGCAACTTCATTGCTATTATTATTAATATATTATGTGAAGTCCTGTAGTTCAGTGATTAGAGCACTCGCCTCGCAAGCAAGAGATCTGGGTTCAATTCCCGGCAGGGCGAAATCTTGGGCAAGGTTTATTCCTCCTTATTTTACACGCCTGATAATAATCCATCAAGAAAAAAAAATAATAAGACGGTCACTTCAATCCATGACTGTTTGTGAGACACTGCTGTACACAATTGGCTGCAGCGTTTCACCCACATATATACAGTCAATTCACTTTACAGTATATTCTGTGAAGCGCTTTGAGACGTTTAGAAGACATGAAAAGCACTATATCAAATGCAAGGATTATTATTATTATTATTCCCTTCAGGGAGAGTTCTCAATTCCATTTGTATATTACAGAATACAGCAAGAAAGGTGAGATACTTCCCCAGAGGGAAGAATCATTACGTTTGATAAGAGCGCCTTTCACATCAGGAGGACGTCTCAAAGCACTTTACAGGATATACTGTAAAGTGGAGTGACTGTATTTTGTGGGAGAATGAGGGAGGCCCTCTGCTCCTCCTCTATCTCTCCTCAAGGCGAGTTACAGGTCAGGACTGGCAGTATGAACGTAGGAACAGCATTCAGCCCATCGAGCCTGTTCTGCCATTCTATTGGATCATGACTGATCTGTACCTGAACTCCAATTATGATAATAATTATAGTAATAAGTATGCTCAACAGAGCCAACTCCCAGCTCGGGTCCAAAGCCCCTGATTGTCCAGCGCCCTGGGACGTCTTTCCGACGTGAAGGGCGCTATACAAGTGTAATTTGTTGTTGTCTGCCTCCTCTCTCAGCCAAAAAACATCTACCATCTGCACTGCACACTGCATACAAACACAGCACATCATTTGAAAATGACTATAAAACTACATAATATTTTCCAAAGGAAATAAACATTATTAACAGCAATGATAGAAGTGTCACAAATTGCCCTGACTGAAATGATATTGGCTAAAGCCTTGTTCCCTTTAGCTCCATCAGTCTGGAGTAACTAGCCCGATAACCCAACAGCAGTCTAAATAATGTTATTAGCCAGACAGCAGGTGGCAAACACAGAACTTCCATCTGCTCCGAGAAATATTTATTTGTAAGGCAATCTCAGCGTGGAGCACGTAAAATAGAAGCAATGAGCAATAGAAACCTAAGCAAATGTCTGAGAAGCAACACACAAGGAGTAAACAAAGGGAAAGCCAGGCTCAATTTTACGCAGCAATCCCAGCTCGGCAATGAAGAGATTACAGTGAGCACTGCCAAAAAAAATGACGCTGTAAATTAAATTAAGACTGAATGGGCTTCCAGGCAGAATGCAGTCTTAAGTGTCAGCTCAGCACAGGCTTACCCAGAAGAGGAAACTGAAGAAGAAGAGACAGTATTTTATCCAGGGGTTGATAAACGTGAAATTCTCCACTCTGTTCAATCTTCTCCCAATATCCATACTGGAAACTGACAACTGATAGATTCACGACAGAAAAGAAAACCTACCCGAGCGAGGAGAGAAAGAGAAAATGTCGCAGAGTTCTGCTTTGATGTGTTTTTTTTTTGCACACTGTGTGGGAGCCTGTGTGACTGCTCGCCTGCTACTCAACACTGCAACTCCCTCTCGCTCTCTATCAATCTGCAGTTGGTTCTGTTCCATAAAAAGACTTGTTCCCTTACCAGTCAGATGCAGGCAACTCAGCCATGGTCTGGCTTGGAATACTGACTCAGCACCAGGGCATACAATAGTTCTGGTCCTGATTTATAATGTGCTAATTACTGAGACCAGAGACACAAAGCTTTAAAGCTCAGAGCTGTAACTATGCCTTTGGCCACCTCTTTTATTGTGTCCTTTCCAGCAAGATTTAAGAATATTTCATCTCTCTCTGTCTGTTATTTATTGTTCGTTTCACCCTTTAGCCACAGTGAGTGGTTAGTACATGATGTTTTGGCTAGTAATTTAGAAACGGAAATTTCTAGCTTTGAATGTCCTCACTGCGCCCACCTCCGCAACATTGCCCGACTCCGCTACTGCCTCACCCCTCAGGCCCCCGAAACCCTCACACATGCATTCGTCACCTCAAGGCTCAACTACAGAAACTCCCTTCTTGTCGGGCTCCCCACCTCTTCCCTCCACAGGCTGCAGATCATCCAGAACTCTACAGCTTGTGTCCTCTCCCGCACCAGGCTCCGTGACCCCCATCACACCCACTCTCACCAGGGCTCCACTGGCTCCCCATCCCTCAGAGTTCAAAATCCTCGTCCTCACCTTCAAGGCCTTCCATGGCCTTGCCCTCTCCTACCTCTCCGACCTACTCCATGTCCCCCGCCCAGCTCGCCTCACCATCGGCGGTCGGGCCTTCAGCCTCTCTGCCCCCACCTTCTGGAACTGATCACAGCCAGAGCAGTGAGCGAGGGGTGAGAGGGTACATTTGTCAACTACAAATAAATTTTGGGAGGGGAAAAACCCTTGACAGCATTCCCAATTCTGGATAACTACTTCAAGTGTACCAAGGCACTGTCCGGAATGAAGGGCGCTATATAAATGCAAGTTGTTGTTGTTGCTGCGTACGAGCATTGGGTGACTGCAGCATTGAGCCGGGCTGTGACGTCCCTCACAGTTGAGTTACCGGCTGACGCTCATTGTATAGGCTCCCACATGGAAAATGCCCACAGGCAGAGGAGCCCACAATAGAGGAGTGTTGGCAGAGACCACTTCAGCATTCAGGGGCATTCAGGAGAGAAACAAAGAGAATGGAATAAGAACAGAATATTGTTATCCATTGAGGTTTGGGGGTCATTTTAAAGGCTCTCTTCTGAAGATTGACAGCAATGTTCTGACAAATTTGAATATGGATTTCACAATCAGTAGCGTGGAGTTGGAGAGCTTTTGCTAAATTTCACCATAAATACAATACAAAATTATGTTTATATAGTGCCTTTCATGTTGGGAGAACGCCCCAAGGCGCTGAACAGTTAGGGATTTGGACCCAAGCTGGGGGTTGGGATTGGGGAGAGTAGAGGGCAGGGGGAGGAGGGTGGCCGAAGGCTCGGTCGAAGAGGAGGGTTTGGAGACACGCTTTGAAGGAGGCAAGGGAGGGAGCAACACGAAAGGGGTGGAGTTCCATAAGGTGGGGGGCAGAAAGGCTGAACGTCGATGGTGGAGCGGGCCGTGGGGGGGATGTGGAGTAGGCCAGAGCCTGCTGAGCAGTGGGAGCGGAAAGGTTGACATGGGGTCAGCAGGTCGCAGAGGTAGAGAAGGGCAAGGCCGTGGAGGGCCTTGAAGGTGAGGACGAGGATTTTGAACTCTATCCTCGGGGGATAAAGACTTGCAATGGGGAAATAATAATAATAATGATAATTCTTGCATTTGATATAGTGCCTTATCAAGTTGTCCAGACGTCTCAAAGCGCTTCAGAGGAATGTGTCGCTGCACTGAGTATTTCCCACCCCATTCACTAAATGCTTCTCTTCTTTCCCATGGCTACTTTGCACAGAATGGAATTGGAGATGCTCTACCTTGTAATTATTTAATTTTAGGCAGTTTCAATCTGGCAATGCATTGATTTAGGCATTATTAGGGTTAGGATTAGCAAAATTATGAGCCGGAACATTCATTAATTTGGATCTTCAGGCCACTAGCCTGTGTGCTGTGCCACTTTAAACACTTTTAGAATTATTTTAGAATGTTAACCTTTCATTTCTCACTGTGACATTGACAGGTGCTTTTGGCACTTACGTGTGATGGTGAAATTGATTTCTAAAGAGAACAGAGGGATTTGCGGTTTAGACTCTGATGAGCCACAAAGTTTTTGCGTTTCTTTGTTAAATATTTACAAATTGATTTACAGTAAGAACAACAAGTTCTATTTATCTGGCGTCCTTCAAGCGAGATTGGGTTTCGGGGCACTTATTACTAATTATTACTAATTTAATTAGTAAGGAGAGAATACCTATAGCAAGGACAACACCTCAATGGTGGGCAATAATGGGAAATGCCATGGCATTGTGGAACATGTGTATGCCAGGGTTGGGGAAGTGAAATCCAGAAACACAGTAGTGATAAGGATACCATACAAAAATAAATAGAAAGATAAATAAATAATCCTTGCATTTGATATAGCACCTTATCACATCTTCAAGACGTCACAAAGCGCTTCAGAGAATATACTTTAAAGTGAATTGACTGTATATTTTGTGGGTGAAATGTGACAGTATCCAACCCCTCCAATCCGGTTTCCGCCCTGCCCACAGTACAGAGACTGCGCTTGTGGAAGTCACAAACGATATCCCCTCTATCTGTGACCAGGACTCCCTCTGCCTCCTTGTCCTCCTGGACCTCTCCGCCACGTTCGACACATTCGATCACTCCATTCTCCTCTACCGCCTTTCCTCCAGTGGGACCGCACTCTCCTGGTTCGAGTCCTACCTCAAAACCACCAGCAGTACATCTGCACAAACGTCTTCTCCTCCCGCTCTCACCCGGTCACCTGCGGGGTACCCCAAGGATCCATCCTTGGCCCCTTCCTCTTTCTGATCTCCCTCTTGGGGATGTCATTCGCAGACATGGGGTACATTTCCACATGTATGCAGACGACACCCAACTCTATTTTTCCACCTCTCTTTGCGACCCCCAGTCCCCTGATGTTCTGTCAGGCTGCCTGTCAGATCTCAGGGACTGGATGAGCGCAAATTTCCTTCAGCTGAACATTGACAAGATGGAAGCCATACTCTTTGGCTCTCGTCAATGTCTAAAATTTCAAGGTTCTCACCTCTTCCACCTACCTGACCTCCCACTAAAACTCTCCGAATGCATACGCAACCTAGGCATGAGGTTCGATCCCCAATTATCCTTCCTCCCCCACATCCAGTCCCTCACCAGCACCTCTTTCTTCCACCTCCGACACATTGCCCGTCTCTGCCAAAACCTCTCTCCGAAAGCCGCTGAAGCGCTAGTCCATGCCTTTGTCACTTCTCGGCTGGACTATTCTAACACCCTCCTCTTCAGCCTCCCATCCACTACCATCCAGAAAATGCAGATTATTCAAAACCCTGCCGCCCGCATTCTCACCCGTACCAAACTCTGCTCCCTGACTACCCCAGTCCTTATGCTGTACTCTGTCCAGCGCCTTGAGACGTCCTCCTGACGCGAAAGGCGCTATACAAATGTAATCTTGTTGTTGTTGTCCTTGCCAGACTGCACTGGTTGCCTGTCCCAGAGAGGTTCGACTTCAAGATCCTCACCCTTGTCTTCAAATCCCTCCACTCCTCTGCACCCCCCTACCTCTCTGACTTCCTCTCTCTTCAAAACAGTGCCCTTTTCCTTTGTTCCTCCGGGTCTGGCCTCTTCCTCGTCCCCCGAGTCCTCCGCTCTACCCTCGGCGGCCGTGCCTTCAGCCACTATGCCCTGAGGCTCTGGAACTCCTTTCTTCACTCCCTTCGCCTCGCCCCCTCTCTTCCTATTTTCAGGTCTCTGCTGAAGACCTTTCTTTTCAACTGCACCTTTGGTCACCTTCCTCCCCCTCCCCTGGCTCGGTCCCAGGATCCGTTACTGTGAAGTGCTCTGAGACGCCGTCCAGCGTGGAGGGCGCTATCTAAATCCAAGTTGTTGTTGTTGTTGTTGACAGAGCACTTAACAGTGGCAGAGCCTGACTCGGGGCCAGGGGGAGATGGCCGTAAGCACAGTCGAAGATGAAAGTTTTCAGGCGTGATTTGAAAAAGGGAAGAGAGGGGGCAAGGCGGAGGGATTTGAGAGTGTTCCAGAGTTTCAGGGCGTAGTGGCTGAAAGCGGGTCCTCTGATGGTCGGGCGGAGGGTGCGAGGGACGAGCAGGAGGCTGGTGCCAGTCAAGCAGAGGCACCGGGTGGTGGATTGGGGAGTGAGGAGGTCGGAGAGGTAGGGAGGTGCCAGGGAGTGAAGGGATTTGAACATGAGTATAAGGATCTTGAAGTCGATCCGTTCGTTGATGGGGAGCCAGTGGAGCCTGGGCAGAACCGGTGAGATGTGGGTACAGAGTTTGGTCCGGGTCAGTATGTGGGCGGCAGAGTCCTGAATGAACTGGATCTTTTGAATAGTGGAGCTGGGGAGACCGGCGAGGAGTGAATTTGAGTAATCCAGGTGAGAGGTGACAAACGCATGCACGAGAGTTTTGGCTGCATTTGGGGTAAGGTACTGTCAGAGGCGGGCAATGTGGCGGACGTGGAAGAAGGTAGTCCTGGTCAGGGACCGGATGTGGGGGGGCAGAAGGACAGCTGGGGGTCGAACTGGATGCCTAGATTGCGCACTGGTTCAGTGAATGTGCCGGAGAGCCCAGGGAGGTTGAAGAGTTCAGATGCGCAGGAGTGAAGACGTGAACGGGAGCCAAGGAGTATAGCTTCCGTATTGTCCACATTCAGCTGCAGGAAATTTACAGTCGTCCAGGTCTTGATGTCTGCCAGACAGGCTGACAGAACATCGGTGGACCTGGAGTTGGGACTGGAGGAGGCAAAGTAGATTTGTGTGTCATCAACATACAGCGGGGGTGGGGGGGAGGTGGGGGAGCGCAGTGACCGTAAGCATGAACAAAAAAGAAGGTCGTTAGGTGGGATTTGAAAATGGAGAGGGAGGGGGCAAGGTGGAGGGAATGAATTGAGGGAGAGAGTAC